CATGATATTCATTCCTACAATGAGTATCAACAAGGAGAAGCCGAAGGATACACTGACAACCAAGAAGATGGCTACCAGTATCAACCCGAGTATGACTTCCATGCAGGCAGTGGTAGTTATCACAACTACCATTACGGAGATGATGTTGGTGCCTTTCATGATCTTGGTGAGATGGAAGATGTCCTCCCAGGACCAATCAGCGATCCTGAGGATGAAGAAGAGGAAGGTGATGTGAGTGCAGACAGCTACGACCCTCTTGAAGGTGCCGATGATTCAGGCCCTGATTCAGACTCAGCTAATGATGAGGTGGCTCGTGACCGGGTACTTATCCCGTACTACAACCACATTCCAAATGAAGATTGGTACGTTGATGCCGACATGGAGCCGCCAAAGGTGCCAAGATGGGGTCCACTCACTGGGTTTACGAAGGGCCAACAATTTAGTACAAAGAAGGAGGTGCGACACGCTATTGATACTGAAGCAATGACTCGGAGTTTTGAATGGTGCACAACTCATTCCGACACGAAGAGACTCATAGTTCGGTGCCAAAATCAACACGAGGGATGCAAGGCTAGAGTCCGGGCCATCAAGAGCAAGAGAGTCAGGCATTGGGTCATATCCCGTGCGATGAACACACACACATGTGTGTCATCCATAACATCCCAAGGCCATCGACAGTTGAAATCCAGGGTGGTTGCCGCGGCTATCAAGCATCTAATTGAGCAAGATCCTGACCTAAAGGTGAAAGTCATAATCGCTGACATTTCTAGTCGTTATGGTTATATTATTAACTACAAGAAGGGGTGGCATGGGAAGCAGAAAGCAATTGCTGCCGTGTTTGGCTACTGGGAAGAATCTTATGCATTCCTTCCAAGATTGATTTTGGCATTGGAGGCCTCTAACCCTGACACTGTTTTCTCCCCTCGCTACCAAGATGAAGAAATTCAGCCGCCGGAGCCCGGTAACAAACGCCATTTCAAACGTCTTTCTAGTCCTTCAAGCCATCTATTGATGGTTTTCCCTACTGTGTGCCTGTAATACAAGTGGACGGCACATTCCTTACTGGCAAGTACAAGGTCACTCTCCTTATTGCCAGTGGAGCGGATGCAAACAGATTAGTCTTCCCTTTAGCCTTCGCCATTGTTGAGGGAGAGAATGCCGATAGCTATGGATGGTTTTTCCGACAAATCCATCTCCACGTCACCAGGAGAACGAACCTGACGATCATCTTGGATCGCCATGCCGGGATCAGAGCCGCCATTTTAGGATTGGATCCAGCCTGGAAGTGGTCTCAGAGGTGGTGCATACGACACTTCAAGAGCAATTGGAACCATCATTTTAAGCGGAGGAAACTTGCTGACAGTCTATGGTGGACCGGTAAGCGTTATACTACATTGACCAACTAATTTGCAAAAAGTTAGATTTACAATACAATATAACACTTACTAAGACTCTTCATAACGAGATGCATGCCTAAGGAAATGGGGTCTTAAGCGATCATCATGGTCCTCCCATTTCCTGGGAAAATCGAGTTCTAAGAGATCCTCGGATCCCCCCTTTTTATGTCAAAAAGGCTATGTTTCTAAGGAGACGTAGACCTCTCCTAAGAGTATAACGAGTGTTGTATTGTTTTACCTGTTACCTGACCCTTTCTTCTGTTTATGAATCAGTTGTAGCCTACCAAGAGAAGAAATTCTTGGAAAAGATGTAGAAAATCCGTGAGCTTTGTCCTGAAGGTGCACAGTGGTTGGATAAACATGACCTAACCATGTGGACTTTTCACAAGGACGGAGGTACCAAGTGGGGTATTGCAACCACGAACTCTAGTGAGAGTATCAACTCCGTCTTCAAGGCTGTTCGTGCATTACCAATCTCTGCAATTGTGGAGATGACATACTGGAGAGCGAACCAATGGTTCGTCAATCACCTCCACTGGGCACAGACTAACGAGGCATAGGGTAAGGTCCATTCCTTTAAAGCCATGGAGATCTTGGAAAAAGACAACCGTAAGAGCAGTCGTCGTACTGTCACTGTTATGAATCGAGATGCTGGTGAGTATTCAGTCGAGACCGGACAGTGGCAGGATGGTAGACACGGTGCGCATTGACATGAAGTAAAGGTCAACTTCAGAACAAAACAAGGAGAGTGCTCTTGCCTTAAATATCAGGGTAGAGGTATGCCTTGTTCTCATGCAATGGCCGTGATTAAACACAGGAGCAAAGACCCCCTTCACTTCTTTAGTCCTTTCTTCAAACTCGACTCAGTAAAAAGCACTTACGGACAGAGTTTTCGTGCATTACCGGAAGAAGCTTACTGGCCAATATATGATGGAAAGGTTATCATCTCACCATTCGGGCTTAGGCGTGAACCAGGTCGCCCGAGGAGGAAAATGATTCCGAACGAGATGGATCAAAGTGGAAGACCACCGCGAGGGCCAAGGCAGTGTTCCATATGTAAAGTTCCATGGAATGATAAACGAAATTGTCCTGGACCAATTGGTCATCACAATCCAGGGGAAGACGTGCCCAACTCGGATAATGGCGCATAGATTGTTGGTTAATTTATTTTATTGTTTCCTCGTTTCATCTTGTTTAAGTTTGTGGCCAATGCTAAAGTAATAGTTTTGAATAACTTATTCTCGTCAAATTAAAACAAGACCGATAAAATTCAAATTAAAACAAGACCGATAAAATTCAAAGTAAAACAAAGTACCACACAATTTCGGTTCTGAGCAAATTTGAAGGCATACATGTTATCACAAATTCAAATTTAGGAAAGATCCACATAATACGACATAAGTACAACTCATCCCTTTCCTCGACGAGCCGCCATCTGCTTCCTTGTGCGACGGGCTATGGGTCCCAACGTTGTACCAGGCGCTGGGCGCGGTGGTAGCAAACGAGGATGGCGCTGATCCGTGCTATGTCGACGCTGCACCGTGCTAGGCGGCTCATTCATTTGCAGCTGGGGTTCATCCACACTCATACGATGGGGAGTGTAAGGTCGTTGTTGCTGATCTGGCGTAGCCCATCCTTGCTGAGGTCGAGGTATGAAGTCGCGGGGAGCGGACGTGCCTGAACCATGCCAACTACCGGATGATGTGCGTTCATGGAAAGAAGGTCGCGGAGGAGGCTCGTGGTAAGTACTCGGCGGAGACTCGTGGTAACTACTCCGCGGGGCCTCGTGGTAAGTACTCGGTGGAGGCTCGTGATAAGAACTCCGCGGAGGCTGCTCGTGGTAAGAACTTCGCGGAGCCTCGTGGTAAGAGCTCGAGTCGCCACCTTGACCAACCTCCAAAGGATTTGGCACGCGCCATGCATCGAATGGCCTGATCTCGGGCACGAATGGTCGTTCCCGTGCGCTCTTCTTTAGTCTCCTTTGTCTTGGTGGCGGCGGCCTGATTTAGGAAAGATCCACATAATACTAAAAAAAACATATTTAAGTTAACTAAAATAATTAACTAAATTAAATTAATAGCATTTTGAGACATTTCATTGTACATAGAATTAACAAAATCAAGGTTTTTCACAATGTATAAATAATTTACTGAAAAAACATATTTAAGTTAACTATAATAATTAACTAAAATTAAATGAATAGAATTTTGAAATATTTCATTGTACATAGAATTAACAAAATCAAGGCTTTTCACAATATATAAATAATTTACTAAAAAAATATATTTAAGTTAACTAAAATAATTAACTAAATTAAATGAATAAAATTTTGAAATATTTCATAGAATTAATTATGTACACAAAATTATACTCGATTATATTATTTTTTAAATCATATTGAATATTTTCGATAATTTAAAGCATACAAGTACACTCGTTAGACTCTTAGAAGAGGTATACATCTTCTTAGAAACACAACCTTTTTGACAGAAAAAGTGGGGATCCGAGGATCTCTTAGAACCCGATTTTCCCAGGTCATGGGAGGACCATGATGATCGCTTAAGACCCCATTTCCTTAGACATGCAGCTCTTTATGAAGAGTCTAAGTAAGTGGCACTTTGTATTGCTTTAAATTATTGAAAGTATTCAATATGATTAACAATTAACAAATTTATTTACAAACCACTAACTCACGTTAACAAAATAAAAAAGATATACTTATGAGAAATTATAAGTACCTCGCGATCGTTCCAAACATCCCTTGAACGATGATTTTCTTGGTCGTATAACACCGTTGGATCAATTGGTCCTTGATCGACGTAATATCTTTGGTCGTAGATATTAACGTCTGACCCAACCTACGATAGCATAACAACAATATAAAATAATTAGTATATAGATTAAATAAAATCATTATAACAACAACAAAAACAAGAGCAAAATGAGTATGTACCGCTTGATAGTCATCCACAAAGACCCCCTCCTCCTCGATAAAATCGGTCATATTTTCAGGAACCGGACAGAGATTCGACGGGTTTTTAGGAAAAAACTCGAAAATGTTTTCTGATGGCAGTTTGGACTTAGCCGCAACCAACATACCACTATTTCCTAGTTTTTTGGGTGGGGAGGGGAATGGTAGAGAGAACTAATCTTAGAGAGAGAGAGGAGAATGGATTTTGGTGTGAAAAAATGAGAAGGGAGAGGGGGCTATTTATAGTTTCAGAACCGTGCCCTGGAGGGGCGGTTTTGTAATTTTGGAACTCAAAAACCGTGTCCCCCACCCACGGTTTTCATTGTGCTTCTTCAAAACCGCTGCTGGAAGGGGCGGTTCCTAGGCCAAGATGCGGACCGCTGAGTTGGCAGACGGTCTGCCGTCGGATCACCTCCTAATCCGACGGTCACTGAAACCGCCGCTTCCCAAGGCGGTTCTGCTAGGGTTTTACGGAAACTGCCCCTTGCAGCACGGTTTGCATGTAAACCGTCTCCCAAGGCGGCGGTTTTTAGAAAATAGTGGTAGAAGTGAATTTTTTTTTTTCATTAGGTGGTGTTTTTGTAATTTGTTTTTTAATAGTGGTATTTTTGGATTTTCCAATAAATAATTACTATGGGAAATGAGAATGACAAGGAAGGGGGGGAAAAAACACTGGTTTCTACCCTCTGGCGGTAAGAGTAGAAGACTCCGACACCACGACACAGCCCAATAATTGAGGCCGAGAGACCAGACCGAACACCACAACCCTCCTCCGAGGAAATTGGGAACTCCGACTGATACACCCAAGCAAGAAAAGAATCTCGTCAGCCCATAGATAGAAGAAAACATATAGACGACATCCCAAACCAATACACAACTCCTTCCCCACTCCAGATCGGCGGAAACAAGATGCAAATGCAACACCAGCACCAACAACCGCCGCCGTCGCCGCGCCCAACGACCCCCACCGCCGCCGGCAAGGACAACGGCCGCAGACCCACCAACATCTCCGTTCTCCTAACCATCTCCCTCTTCTCCCTCCTCTTCATCTTCTCCCTCTCATCCTCTTCTCCCAATTCCGCCTCCTCCTCCGCCGGTACCCGACCCGACCCGCGCCTCTTCCCGACCCGGCAGCCCACCTTCTCCAAAATCCCTTCCGATCCCGCCCCGCCTTCCGTCGCCTACCTGATTACCGGATCCAAAGGTGACTCCGGTCGGATCCTCCGCCTCCTTTCCGCCGTCTACCACCCGAAAAACCTCTACTTGCTCCACCTCGACCTCTCCGCCCCGCCGTCGGAACGGGACAGGCTGGCCCTGGCCGTCGAATCGGTCCCTGTTTTTCGGGCCGCCCAGAATGTGGATGTGATTGGGAAACCGGATTTTACTTACCGGAGAGGGTCGTCGCCGGTTGCGGCTACTTTACACGGAGCTTCTCTGTTGCTGAAGTTGTCAAAGAATTGGGATTGGTTTGTCAGCCTGGGAGCCGCCGATTACCCTCTTGTGACCCAAGATGGTAACTTTCCTTCACTCTCCACGATGGGGAATCTGCAATTTCTTCCAATTGGGTTTTGGATTCTAATAAATTTTGTGGCTTGCTTTTTCCTTTTTCTGCAGATCTACTCCACATTTTCGCCTACTTGCCCAAAGGTCTCAATTTCGTGAGTCACAGTAATTACATTGGCTGGAAAGAGTAAATTTTGACTTTTCCTTCGTTTTCTTTGTTTCTTCCCACCCGATCCTTGTACCAATTTGCTCGTCTTCAATCCACTGTTTCGTTGGGGTTGTGATGATTGTGTTTTGTTAAATGTTGGGTGGGTTTGCAGGTCTAGAAGATTGAAACCAATCATTGTTGATCCAGGGCTTTATCTGGCCGAGAAAAGCTACATGTTCCATGCCACACAGCGGCGACCGTTGCCTACTTCTTTCAAGCTATTTACAGGTCTGTGTTTTTCCTTTTTCTATGTAGCTTTTCAGGGTGTTTGTTTTCCCATGATTCTGGGGGCCAAAAGTACCAAGTTTTATGGAGTAGCGGGAAGAGAGATAATGAGAGAGAGAGAGAGCTATATAGGAATGTGGATGATGGCGTCTGCATTGGGAGTGAAAATGCGGTTCAAAGAGATGAGGCTGTTTCCAATTACGGCTCCGGATTCAGGATTGCATATGGCATGGATAGGATGTTGTTTGTGGAGAAGCCTGTTTAATGTCTGCACTTCATAATGGTTGTTGCCTTCTGAACTTTCCCTAATTAGTGTGTTGTGTTCTTCAATTGGACAAAAGACGGCCTAGGTTTAGTCCTGTTCGAGTTGGAAACTCTTATTAGTGAACTAAGCCTTCCCTTCTTGAACAAGCAAAGGTTGCAGGTTCTGTAAATGACAGTTCCTGTGTCATTTTTGGTTGATGAGCGGTTTATTACATGATTATGGTTAATTGCCATTTGATTTCATAGTTAAAGACTGCTGCGTGTAACTTCAATCTCTCTTAAACTATGTTGTGCTGCTGTCCACCGGAAATTCGAGACGTAGATGACTGAAACACCAGTTACTTTTCTGTCCTGCAGGCTCTTCCTTCTCATTTCTCAGTCGTAGCTTCGTCGAGCACAGCATCCTCGGTACAGACAACCTCCCGAGGATCTTGCTGATGTACTTCTCAAACACAATGTCTTCCATAAGCAGCTACTTCCCCACACTGCTATGCAACTCTCCTCAATTCAACAGGACGGTCATAAACCAGGACTTGCAGTACAAAATCCTGGATCAGTCCTTCAGGCAGGAGCCCCGTGCCCTAAACTCCACCGACTTTGATGCCATGATCAAGAGTGGAGCTGCATTCGCCACCGAGTTCCAGCCTGACGATCCGGTGCTTGACCGGATCGACAGTGACGTCCTTGGGAGAAGCCCTGGGGAAATTGTGCCTGGTGGGTGGTGCTTAGGAGACCCTGCGAACGGTACTTGTTCGGTTTGGGGGGATGCCAATGTTCTGAGACCTGGCAAAGGAGCGGCGAGGCTCGAGAAGCGTATTGTTGAAATGCTGTCAAATAGACGGTTCCGGTCTCAGCAGTGTATATCTGATTGATTTGTTTCCCACTGAATGATACCACTTACTACACGTAGAAACAGAGATCAAGAGCCAAAAAAAGGAGGGGCTGGTCAAGTTTTGTAACTAATTATTTCACTCTGATTATTTACTGCGACTCCCCCCAGTTTTTATAAGAAAGAATGCCTCAGGTTCAGAGTGTCTGTCCAGAGTCCGGACCACCTGATTGCCATTGGATCATCTCCCCATCATCAAAGTGAACAGCTTTCGTTTCCTGACAAGGCTTCGATCACGATTGGATCGTACATAACGCATTGCACAGACGATTTGGATCGGAAAAAGAGAAGCATCGATTATTAGACAACCTCGAAATGAGACACTACAGTGACAGTCGTAGAGATCAATGGCTCTAGCTAGGACCCTGTAAACCCTTGGATGGATAGTGTTAAAGACAGGGCACAGAGATCTTTCATCCTTTCTTCCCGCGCGGAATGCAGCTCGCGCCTCAGAAATTTGCAGGGCTGTCGTCCAACATTTTCTCGTCCTCAATCTCAACTTCCAAGATTTCCTGATACAAGAACAAAAGATATATAATTTCATTTGGAAACAAAGAGATGTGATGTAACATGAGCAGATGAAAAAAGAGGAGCCAGAGTGCAAATTACAGGAATTCGCTGCTGCAGATAATTGCCAAGCCTAGCAAGAATCATGGATCGTTCGTGCCAGAACCGACCTTTGAGACTAATCTTCACAAATGGCCCATCTAACTCAGCAAGTTCAGCTTGCCCTGCAAAGTTAATGATTCAGCCACCAACAAATGGCCCATCTAATCTTTATCCACAATGTACAGTAGGAGGAAAGGAAATCACCTGTTATCCCAACTTCGCCGTCGAACAGCTGCCCAAGCTGCCACCAAGGAAGAACACACAGACATATGCATGAGACGTTGATCTTTGAGTAACAATCAGAATTGCAGCACCTGCTACGAAAGGAACAAGAAACTACTTGCCTCGCCTCTGGCTTCAGCCAACACCAGTCTAACATTTTCCTCTGTCAAATCAAGCGGCGGGTGCGGCACTCCTCCACCTCCTGCCGCGGCTGCCGAGGTGAAAGCTGACGACTTTCTCCGACCGCCACTGGTGGCTCTCTGTCTTATTGAAAATGAGCAAGCGCCCATCATTGTTGTTGAAAATTTAGGGAAGGGTTTCATTCTGAATTGGGAGGTGAAAGAAGTGAGATTGCGTTGTGGAAGAGAGCAGCTGATATCGCCATGGATGGAAAACGATGGCGCCCTTGACATCTTTTCTGGCTTCAAGTTTTGGAACTCCCAGTCCGAGGACTTGTACATCAGTGGGGAAGAAGAAGAAGAAGAAGATGTTGGTTGTTCTTCCAAGGACTCGTGGCGTTTTCTGTACCACTCATTTAACTTCTCATCCGCACAAACATGGGTCTATGGAGCAAACTAACAAGGGGAAATGTCACAAGGCAAAAATGCGGCTGGCAGAAGCTGAGCCAGAAGCAAAAGATGCTTGAAAGAAGTTTTTAAGTCACTAGTGAGAAGACAATGAAGAACTACTAGCACAAATTTGTCATTACCAAGAAGTTCGTCCTCTCAAATGCAAGAACAGAGTCTAACTGAGGTTCCTAAAGAGATCGATCTACTGTTACAACAAAACTCCCAGTGACACTCGACATTTTGGGACTCTTCTACTACAATACAATGAAATGGTACACCTTCTTGCCTCCAAAGATAGGTTATTAGTTGAACAACTCTCTGTCACACTATGAGTGTATGATTACAAATTCACACATGGGAAACGTTAATGCTTGTTCGATAGCTCTCTGCCCAACATCCCCCAGAGTTGGAGCTGCACCGTCCCTCTGCAAGTTGAACCACAGTGCACTATGGTTGGACTCCCACAGCGATTCTCATTAGAAGACGCCGAAAAATGTAGCGATAGCGAAAATGAGAAAGAGCGCTCCGCTTACGTAGCCAACCTGATGATGAGAGAAAGCTTTGGTGAGTAATGGCCGTTGGAAGAAGAGAGGAATAATGTAGATCATAAAATCATCAAGTAGTAACTAGCAACCAGAAGCTTATTGTTCTTACAAGCTTTTCAGAGATGTAGTTGGCAAGAAATGCGCCCCCAACTATAGCGATAGATGTAGCAATCAGGTGTCCGGCAATGGCTCCAGTTGCAACACCCCATGGAGACTGTTGAAGAAAAATGGTGAAAACATGATACATAAGCAACAGCTAGGTTGTGCATGTTTTGATGATCATTTCATATACGAGGCTTGAGTGCTCCAGAAATCCGAACCTGAGCAGCACCAAGGGCGATCGTGGCAAGCATTGAGCGATCTCCCCATTCCTGGAAGCAATTAAGAAATTTCAGTAATGCAAAGCTTTAGCACATGGAGACTTACTAGATCTGTTGTTGGCCATAATATGAAACTTTGCTTAGCAACACTACAGTAAATAAGGCTGGTATTACTAGTGTTAACCGGCACAGCTTGTGCATACATAGCAAGAAGGCAAAGATCCTTACAGCAAAGAATACAAGGCTGAATGACTTCCAGACGATCTCAAATGGATTTGTGAGCGGCTTTGATAGCTGAAGCAATGGGAGTAAATGACTTATTAAGTACTGGACCAAAATCACCAAAAAGCTCTAAATCTATTCAAAGCAGTTTAGTCATAAAGCACACAACAGGTTCAGTGATCCCCTTGTTACAATTTATGAATGATCACCTTTTCCTTCACAAGCTCCTCAGCTGAAGCATATTCATCTAGCTCAGGGCTGTTCTTTTCACCATTCTTCGCCTCGGCTGATGGAAGATCCCATGCGTCTTTGATTGCTTTTAGCCCAAAGAACAAGAGAAGAGCAATTGCTGCATATTCTCCAATTGGAAGGGCTGTACTCGTACCAATAAGGTAAAAGTAACACAGAAATGACAGAATGTTATTATAATATACATTTTTATGAGACTACATGAATGCTCATGTATATCTTTTCAGGGAAAATAAACCAAGACAGCAGCAAAATCATGGGCTGGATGGCAAAACCTTGAAACTACTTACTTGTTTGGAATTGAGCCGGCACTGACCGGAATACACGTCCAATGACAACTGACAAGATGGTCATGAGTGAAAGAGCGCCCATTGAGCCCAAAAGAACCTTGTCAAGGATTGATTCAAAAGGGAACAACTTATTCATCACTGCGAACATTCCTCTCAATATGGAAAACAGGAACAGGAGAATATGAGTGAGAGAGATCATACCAGTCCTTTCTCATATTGCATAGCCAAGAGTGCAGCAATAAAAAATGTCTGGTAAGCAAAACACAAAGCACTATTTAGGCTAATCGAAGGAGTTCTTAGACTGAAAAAATTACTTTGGCAACCATGACTACTAACAATCTTTCCTTTGATACTAGTTCAGTTCCATTTGTGACAAATAATAGTGGCACTAAACTGGTTAACTCACCTTGTCCCCAATTTCCGACACAAATATCAACGAGAATGCAGCAGTTAATCCCGACTTTGAGATTGCAGCCAAGATAGCAGAAGGTTTACCCTTCACAAAGACTATAAGGGAATATACCACAGCGCATCCAAGTAGCACAAGAGCTATAGATAAGGGATAAGGAATTTTGGTGGGAGGTTTCGCGCTGCACAATCAGAAGGGTAAAAAACAAGTCATTAGGCTGTTTCATTAAGGTCTTAAGGAAGACAGTAAAAGGCACACACCATCATCACTCACATTTCAGATGAACTGTCAGTTGGTCCATTCACCAACTTTTCCTGCTTATCTTGCTCCTCCCGACCTTCATATCCCCCTGATCCAACGCTAATGTTGGATGCCTGAGCTCTAACCGTCCGAAGGGCGGAATTGAGCCTTGTGATATCTCTGAATCTAGCTACAAGGAAGGTTAAGAGAAAATCGATCCAAGTTCAGCATGGGTATTCCTGATTTAGACAGACATTAATGCTAATTGGAGCATATGCCAATTCGACATCCTCTTGATGGATTACACTGCACCCAAATCCTGATTACCTAAACCTAAGAATTTGACTACAAGTGGCCACCACAAGATTATCTAAATTCACAACTCGAGAAGCATGCTTTATCGCAGAAACGAAGTTGGGGGGGAATGAGAGCTTACTTGAAGTAGAGATGGGTTTCGATGTGGAGAAGCTAACGCAACACCGACACGGCAATGAATCCACCGGAGTCAAGGACGGAAACCTCGCCGGCGAAATGAATGGCGATCTTTGGAGACTCAACCCCTGCATATTTGCTTAGCTTTCGTCTCCTCCTCTTTTCCTCAGGCCTTTCTTCTCATTAGCTTACAAATTCATCTCAGCTCCACCGCCCAGATGAGCCTCCGATCTTCCAGGTTGCCGACAGCGCTTCCCGTTAGCCGACTTTCTCTGTATCAGTAGGTGGGAAGCTGTAACTCGAGCAGAGATGCTCTGCAGAACTTTTTGGGTACTGGAACTGGAGGACTGATTCCGAGTACGGGGATGTCGCCACGTGTGCAATGAAGATAGACTGCAACGATCAGTTTAGACGATGTCGTTTCGCAGAAGCAGCCAGCTGAGAGCTGACACGATGGCCGCTGTGGATTGTAACTTCTTCAGCCGGCCTAATCGTTGAGATTACGAGAGGCATGGGCCACGGCCAGGGGGATATATCTAAGACAAGGTCGCGTGGCAGCAGCAGGCATAGATCCACTTCGAATAAATGCATGGGCTAAGATCAGGTGACTAAGGGGGTCCCCTTAGTCACATGACTAAGTGAATCTCATCCACTCAACCTCATTAAAATCCAAGGGCTAAGATTAATTCAATTTAATAAAGGGCATTGTAGTAATTGCATGATTTATTAATTTTCAATTATTAATTAAAAAAACCTAACGTGTTTGTCCTGGCTGGGTTTCCGCCGTCGGCATCATCGGCGGGCCTGTGATTTTCGTTCCTGCTGGGTTCCCGGCGTCCCGGTCAGCACCGGCGGCCAGGGATTATTCAAGTCCTTGGCGCCATTATTTTCTTCCTGGGAGCCATTATTCAAGTCCTGGGCGCCATTATTCCATTCCCCAGAGAGAGAGAGAGAGAGAGAGAGAGAGAGAGAACTTTTCCGGCGACGGCGGAGCAGTTTTCCGGCGACCAGAGACGGTGGTGGATGATTTTCCGGCAACAGTATTGAGTTCGTGATGTTTGTAATGTTTATATTACTATTTTGTATACATTGTAATGTTTGTTTGTCATGTTTGTTATTTTGTAATGTTTGTATACTTTTATGTTATGATTTGTATACTTTGTATTCATTTGTTCGTTTGTAATGTTTGTAATGTTTGTTTGCAATGTTTGTAATGTTTGTATACTTTTATGTTATGATTTGTATACTTTGTATTCATTTGTTTGTAATACAAGTTTACCAATCTGTATTGTTAGTAGTGATATTCTGTACGTGTAGTATGCTTTGTACTGTTTGTAATGTTTGTTTGTAATGTTTGTTTGCAATGTTTGTTATTTTGTAATGTTTGTAATGTTTGTTGGTTTCTTTTGTATTGTTTGTAATGTTTGTTATTTTTGTCCACATGTTTGTCATTTTTGTCAACCATGTTTGTAATGTTTTTTGCATCACAAATCAATACATATAAAGTATACAAATTATTAGTACTTACAATACAAAGCGAAACATACTAAGAATACAAGAAAAACATACTAAGAGTACAAACTGTCAAAGAAAAACATACTAAGAGTACAAACTGTCAAAGAAAAACATACTAAGAGTACAAACTGTCAAAGAAAAACATACTAAGAGTACAAACTGTCAAAGAAAAACATACTAAGAGTACAAACTGTCAAAGAAAAACATACTAAGAGTACAAACTGTCAAAGAAAAACATCCTAAGAGTACAAACTGTCAAAGAAAAACATACAAACCATACTGACATTTTGTACAAAAATACTAACAATACAAACTAATGTTACAAAACATACAAACTATACAAATCACTGTTCTTCCTTCAGACGATGTCTCTCCACCGCCGCCTCCGCCGCCGCCGCCACCGTCGTAGTCGTCTTGCCCTCTCTCCATCGTCGCCGGAGTCGTCGTTGAGATCTCCTCGCTGTCGCCCCCCTCTCTTCCACCGTCGTTGTCCTTCTCTCCCCGCTGCTGCTTCTCTCTCTCTCTCTCTCTCTCTCTGGGAATATTCCAGGGGAATAATGGCGGAGGGGAGAAGAATTCCCTGCCCAGGAAATTGGACGGCTCTCTCTCTGGGAATTCCAGGGAATAATGGCGGAGGGGAGAAGAATTCTCTGCCCAGGGAATTGGACGGAGACGAAGCGGCGCAAAGGACGGGGCCGACGCGGACGGCGGGCCTATTTTTTTTTCCCTTCCCAGAATAAAAAGGAAAACCAATTAATGAATTTTTTTTATTCCAGAATTGCCCCTCCAAGTATTTAAAAATCCCTTCCCTAATTTTCACCATTAGATTGATCCTTCTACATCCAATGGCCAGGAGGGGCTTAGCCAAGTGACTAAGGACCCCCCCTTAGTCACCAGATCCGGACTCTAAATGCATGTATCGAGTCATTTAAATGATGAATTTGCATCTAAGGGGTTGTTTGGAGGTTGACCTCCTTCAATTGAAGTGTTTAATTAATTTGTGTATTGTAATTTGATGTATTGATGAAATGTATTGTTGGATAAGCATGAAGAAATTATTGGGGGACATGGGCTTATAGGCAGGGCCTGGGCCCAAGCCCACTAGCGAGCCAGGGCATGTAGGAGTAGGAGTTAGGCCCACGAAGAAGTAAGCAGGCGCATGACGACAAAACTAGGGCGGGGACCGTGCATCTCAGATGCCTGGAAGCTGAGGGCGTGCCACCTAGCAGTGTGGTCTCCATAGGCGCCCAGGCTTAGGAGCCCAGGAGCCGCCACGTGTAAGCGCCCGACCGTTGGGCCGTACTGAGCATTTAATGGCGTGCTGACGTAGGGCTGAACTCCAGGAGCCTGGTCAGGATCTCGTCGAGTATAAATAGTGCCTGGTAGGTGGCATTTACGCAGGTTGGCTTCTCTCACTAAAATCTCTCTTAGACTTATCTCTCTAGATTTGGCACTGACTTGAGCGTTGGAGTGCTAACGGGCATCCGAAAGCCTTTTAGGCGCTTGTCTATGCAGGGTCTAGGCACCCCAAAGGAGTTCATCAGTCGGGGGTCCAGAGAGGTGGGACCGGAGAGTACTTGGCACTAACAATTGGCGCGCCAGGAAGGGGGCGCATGGAGAACATGAACGACGGAAACGAAGGGGAGGATAATTCGAGGTCGGGGAACTCGAATCATGAGGAAGGCGAGCGTCAACTGAGTCAGGAGTCGAGCATGGATGCGAAAAGGCAAGGGAGCCCTGGGCGCCTGTCAGCGGATGAGGGGGAATCCTTGACGAAGAGAGAGCTGTTCCGAATCATAGCTGACCAAGATCGGGCCATAGCGGCGCTCAGGAGGGAGTTGGAAGGGGAGCGAAGTGAAGACGTGATGACGAACAGCCCAGGAGTGAGAAAGCGAGAAAGGACGGGGGAGGACTCGGAGTCCCTGCAATATGGGCTCCCGAATCACACTGATCAGGGACACGACATGCCTGGGCGCCCACGCATTTGGAGGCCACCCGTCGAGCACGCGCAGGCGGGTCCTGATGACTTATGGGCGCCTAGGAGGATTGCCAAGCGGTTCGGCGTCCGGCAACCCCTGGCACGGAGCATCCTTATGGAACCGGCGGGAACCACGATCCCTCCGTTACCTAGTTACGATGGAGTAGCCAACCTAGAAGATCATTTGAACAGCTACTTCACGAAGATGCAACTTTACAACAGCTCGGACGCCACGTTATGCAAGGTGTTTCCATCCACGTTTGCGGGCGTGGTATTGGATTGGTACCATCAGATCGAGGAGGGGCGCATAGAGTGTTTTGAGCAATTTGCGGAGTTATTCTTGTCCAAATTCGCAAGTCGGAAGCGTCGAACATTGACCATAGGCGCACTGTTCAAAGTGAAGCAGAGGGAAGGTGAGGCGCTCAGAGAATTTTACGACCGGTGGATCTCGGTGGCCATGGCAGTCAAAGATGTCCAACCAGCAGTGTTGGGAGTTTGCTTGGACGCATGCACTACGAGCGAAGAGCTCTGCCGAGTCCTTTCTAAGCGAGATGTGGTGTCCACTGAAGACCTAGACCGGAGAGTGCAAAAGGTGATCATGTTGGAGGAAACGTTGGCGGCACGAAGGGCTGAAAAGAGGCGCCTAAGGGGTGAAGAAGTGGAGGTGAGGCAGGCGCCCCGACCCATGTCTGGAAATTTTGGTCCGCAAAGAAGGCCAGAGGCACCGCGGCCCGTGCCGAGGAGTGCTGCAAATTTTACGAAATACAATGATACGCTCAAAAATGTGCTGCAATACGTGAAGGATAGGGGCTATCATATACGGTGGCCGGGGCCCATGCGTGGCCAACCTAACGAGAAAAATCTTGATAGGTATTGTGACTTCTATTGTGAAAAGGGGCACTATACGGCCGACTGCTACCAGCTTAAGGCCGAACTTCAGACTTTAGCCGACAAGGGCATGCTCAACGACTTCGTAAGGAGGGTGAAGGACAGGACCCATCGAACATATGTGACAAGGCCGGCGCCTGAAGTGATCCAGAAGGCGCCCGAAAAGGCAACGACCCAGCAGGAGCTGGTGATACCGCCCCCCCCCCCGGTTTGAAGTAGACCAAGAAGGAGAGCCTAGTTGCATCAGGCTTACGGTCGAGTCCATAACCGGCACTCTCGAATTGAGGGAGAAGTTGGAAAGAACTAGGCGCCTGAGGTCCGCGTCGTTGGAAGCAAGGGCAGCGGTACACATCCACTTCAATCAAGAACCTGATGAAGCGTGCCAAGTCCCATCGAAAGAGGCTTTGGAGATACAAGGGGTGATAGCGAGGTGTAAGGTGAAAAGAATGTTGGTGGACACTGGCAGTTCAATGGATGTCCTCTTCAAAAGCACGTTCGAGCGCATGCAGCTAGCGCCTGAGTTGGTACATCCCTCGAGTTCTGTGTTGATTGGGTTTTCAGGAGCGCTCGCCCAAGTCATCGGGCGCGTGCGCCTGCCCGTGACTCTCGGTGATGAAGCACATTGTGTGACGCATGCGGTGGAGTTCGGGATTGTGGATTGTCCATCCCCGTACAACGTGATACTTGGTCGGCCACTCTTAGCACAATTCAATGGAGTGGCGTCCACCTGTCACCAAACACTGAAATTTGTAGCACCATAGGGCATAGGCATCTCCAGGGGAAGAAACGTTCCACGATACGCGCGAGAAGAGGACCCAAGGTGCCGCGTCCGCAAGCACAGGGTCAACACCATTGACATCCGCCCCGAGGAGGCGCCTAGAGCGGAGTCCTTGGATGATGAGCTTGTGGTGGCCTTGGAAGAGGGGCGCCCGGAGAGGCAAGTGCGAATTTCGGCGCAGGCTCCTGAAGTGATGAGGGCGCCTCTGATTGAATTGCTGAGAGAGTTTGGGAGCTGGCGGTATATTATGTGAGTCGAACCATGATGGGTCATGAGACACGGTATGCACCTATAGAAAAAGCGGCGCTGGCGGTAGTGATGGCAGC